GAGAAGCACCAAAAATGGTCAATAAGTGTTAAAATGATTTAATATAAACGTATCACAACTTAATCTGTTATGCGTTCACTTGTTATTGAACAACTTTTACTCCATGGTAAGCACACAGGACACAGACATACTTGAGCCTCTCCTAATATTTCACAATAGTGCATACATGTTTATGTTTTTACTTATACAATTTTTATGTGTTCAGACATGTGAAACTTTAAATGAAAACTGAATAGAGAAAAAGCTGAGTCAGAACCATGCAACGAATTCAATAGCCAGTGAAACAATACAAGTTCAGGTATCGAATCCAGATAAAGATGAAGGGGTTTTGTAGATGCAATTTAATGTCCCTGATCACTTAGCTTTGAATTCACCAAAAGGGGGATTATCCTTGGTGGGCCTGACTTAACCAGATCACCCTTTAAAAGAAGGTCTAGAGATCAGAAGCAGAAGCCAGAGACTCTTCTGTGGGTCTTAAGTAAATCGGCCAACCTAAGTTCTGCAGCTACATGGACGGAATACTGCTCACAACCGCCTGAGCTTGGAAGAGGACCGGAGCCTCCAACAGACCCTGGCCTCAGGCAGCGCTTGAATTCGCCAAGAGCAGAGGATCCAGTTAAGCTGCACCCCATGGCAACTGTGTGATAACGAATGTGTGTTCTTTTTACATGCTACATTTGTGGTAACCTGTGTTCTTTTTATATGACACATTTGTGACAGTACGAGAAAATGAAGGCAGATGCTTTATATTTCCAAGCAGATAAGCACTGTGAACTCTTTAGGGCTATCATTCAGCGTGAAGAATTCTTTAAGCTCAGAGATGTAGCTGAAAGCAATTTCAGATCAGAAAACTCAGGTAAGCTAAAGAAAACAATATGAAGAGTCATTCAAAATTACATAGTGAGAGAATCCGAGGAAGGCAGTAGATAACATCTCAAGCTCCATGCAAATATGAGTTAAGCCAACTTTAAATGGCCTCCAATAAATTAAAAGTTGATTTATAACATAATTGACAACCCAGGAGGGAGCAGGAGTGCAGGGGCTGGGAGAGGTCAGGGAAAGCTCCTTGGAAAAGGACATATATAGGGGAGACCTAAGGGCAAAGTAGGAATTAGCCAAAGAAAGGAGCTGTGGTGTGGCTGGGGGTGAAGGTGGGAACAAAGGAGTTTCTTCACTTGGAGGAGGCAGCAAGTGCACGGGTGAAGAAACCAGAAACAGTAGGAGCAAGCTTGAAAACAGTTAAGCAGACTAGCTCTCAACTGAGACATTGGGATGTGACATTGGGAAAGCCACTCACCGCAGGTGTCCTGGCGAGATGATTTTCTGATTTACTCAGCTACGGTTCCTCCTCCTCCTCCTGCCAGCAGCAGCCATGGTCAGCCCTTATTTCTTCTCAGGGATCTTGTGTCCTAGACTTCTGGTGCTTTGCAGGTTTGACAGCTAAGATGTCAAACCACACTGTTTAGCCTGTTACATGGTAGCTAAGGGCCTTGAAACCTAAAGATGGTTTTCTTTCTACTGGTAGAATTGTGCTTTCTATTTTAAGAAGTTAAATCAAAAAAGCATCTCCCCATGTTTTAATCCTAAATACTTCAAAGTACCAGCCACTTGCCCATGGCTAATGTAACAACCATCAGGGAAAAAAAAAAAAAAAAAGTATCAGACCCCGTCTTCTGAAATAATTTTTTTGGTTTGAAATGCGCCTGCCCTTGTTTCCTCTTGCCTTTCGAGTAATTAACTCTGCTCAGTTTGAACTGTGCCATGCAAGGTTTTCTGTAGTCCCTCCAATAAAAGGCAATTAAAAAAAAAATCCTAATTTAAACTGCAGGTATAAGTGTCATTCGGCCTCCTGGCAGGCCACTGCAGCAGCCCTGCATTTTAGCTGGGAATGAGGTGAGCAGTATAGTTGGGCCAACTCTGAATCATCAAACCTGCTCATTCGAGCGAGGAACGTTTTTTGGCTGTGCCCTTATTCCTGTGTAATGTCTTCAAACATTCCGACCTCACTGTTTGAAAAAGGTAAGTTTTCCCAACGTCTAAATCCTTCTTTTATTTAGTAAATTTTATCACCCTCAAAATCTCAAGTTTTTAGTATTTTATCCCACTCAAAAATCCCTGTATATTTTGACACATAAATAACAGATCTCAAAACCAGCCATTCTCTCCCAACAGTTCCCGAATTTGTTTTATTTTTCTCCATAAAAATCCAAACGAACACTTTTTTCTTTCTTTCTTGAAAACCACTTTTTCTTTCATGGCGCAGCCTCAAATTTACTTGGGAAACAATACAAAGAAAAATATTTTGAAAAACAAGAGTCTTTCGGGGTGACAGTTGGTGTTTCAGCACCTGCTTTACCCTGGGGAGGCAGAGAGCAGAGGTGGTTAAGTCTCTATTGTTTGTTTAATGGACCAGATTTCAAACGTAATTCCCTCTTGCTGTCTTCACTTTTTCCATAAAGCGAGGCCAGGGAGACCTTTTCCCCTGCAAGAGAGAGAAAATTGAAAAATGTTGTCACCACTGTACTGAGAAAAACAGTGTTGCTATTCGTCTTGGAGGAGTGATATATGAAATGCAGTTCTCCAGAATTCCCACGGTTTATTATTTGTCCAGTATTTTAAGGGAAACAAAGAGAGTTAGTATCTCAGGTAGTTAGTCTCTGTTCACAGTACCTTTAGGCTCTCAGTCTAGTTCCTGAATTTAATCAGTTTTTTTTTTTTTTTTAAATTGAGAGAATAAATAAGTGGTGTTTTGTTTCTTCCTTTTGCTATGTTGCTTTATGGTATCATAGCAGAAAAATTCAAGTGTGACCTAAAAAGCTTTCGAAATGTCTAAATGAGATTTTTCTTAACAGAGGGAACACTGAACTAGATCTACGAGGATTTAGCAAATGGAATCTGGTAGTAGGAGTCAAAGTAATTACCTTCAGTGACTTATTTATTTAAACATACTTTTACACTCACTGTATCACTTGATCTATATACCCTTAGTAGACATAGCTTGGAAACGTCAACATTTCTAAAAGTATATCTATTCCCATCTATTGCCTCAATGACCATTTCTACCGAGATTTCTGCTTCTGTTTACCCTTTAATTTTAATCAGGTGTGATAATCAAAGCCCTTTCTCTTACAGAGGGTTTGCCATCTAAACTTTGAGCTCATATTTTTCAGACTTTTACTCCTTCATCTGAGCCTTAATGTAAGTGTTTCCTAAGATTCAGTTATTGGTTCTTTTTTCTTCTTTCTTTTTTTTCTCTTTCAACTGTCACTTTCACAAGGTGACTTCTAGATGCATGTCTCTACAACTGATGTCTCTCCTGAGAAAACTTGACTTTTCAACACTTTGGCAGAGACATTTCCTAAAGTGTATTTCAAGTTATGGACATCAAAGAAGACAGACATGTTAGTGTGGATGAGTTGGTGTTTGCACGTATTGCAAAGGCAAATCAAATAATTTTTTTTTCATTATTTTGAATTGATCAATTTTTTTTTCTATACGTTAAACTTGGCCCTTAAATTTTAGGTTCCATGTGTACAAAAACTGAAAATAATTTATTACTGATCTGATAAAATGTATTTTACATGTTTCAGTCTTCCAAACACTTCATAATATATCACCTTGGATTTCGATAGCACATTTCTATAAATGCTAGACAACAAGTAGAAAATTGTGCTTTTCTAAAATTTAAATTAGTATCTTTAAAAAAATATTTTTATTGATTTCAGAGAGGAAGGAAGAGGGAGATAGAAACACAAATGAGAAAGAGATTCATTGATTGGCTGCCTCCTGCACGCCCCATATTGGGGTTGGAACCAGCAACCTGGGCTTGTGCCTTGACGGGGAATCAACGGTGATCCCTTGGTGCATAGGTATCAGATGCTCAACCACTGAGCCAGGCTGGCTGGGCTAGATCAGTTTCTAATCAATTTGGCATTATTCATTAAAATCACTTATTGCTTGAGTGGGCAGGTCCAAATAAATTCCACACAGATTTCTAAAAGTTTGTGACAATGGGCTAGCTTTCAACACAAGGGACTGTTTACCAAGTCAAAGGCCATTGATATTTGCAAAAGGCCATTAATTGAGGAAGTCCAAATTAAGCAAAGATCCTGAAATTTGGTAAATCCTAGATGGATTCAGGGATTCTGGTCTTTTTAAGGAGAACTTTGAGTTAAATCATGAACAACTGGAGTTCATGTCCCAAGTTATCATCTTCCTACATGCATTCAGCCTTACAAAGTTCCAGGAGGACCATCAGTCAGACTTTGCAATATAGTGATAATTAAAGGGACACTGACTCACTTCTTCAACTAGATCTCGCTGGCAAGGTTTGATGCAGAGATAATAAAGGGCATTTGGTACATTGGTTGCGTGCACATCCCCAATAGGGGATGTGCAAGAGGCAGCTGGTCAATGTTTCTCTCTCATCCACGTTTCTAGCTCTCTCTCTCCCTTCCTCTCTGTAAAAAAATCAATAAAATATATATATATATATATAAAAAGAAAGGGCATCTGTCATCCTGTTAAATGAATCGAATTAGTGAACATGAAATATGAGATATATCTTGTTTGTGGTTCAGTCACTGGAAAGCAAGCGCGGGTGAAATCGCCCAGCGGGGGGAGGTCAGCCCTCTTTGGAGCACCCAGCCGCCACAGCACCTCTGACATCCACCTCCACCGGGACTCCGGGGGCCGGCCCGCCTTCCGGGATCCGCGCGCGGGGCGGGGCCAGCGCCGGAAGGGCGAGGCCGGGGGGCGGAGCGAGCGACGCGGGGGCGTGGCCTCCAGGGGGCGGAGACAAGATGGCCGCCCAGAGCGCTTGGAGGACCTAAGGGGCGGTGGCCGGGGCCACGCCCCGGGCGGGAGGGCCGCTCTGCGCGCGTCCGCTCTATGATGCTTGCGCGCGTCCCCCGCGCGCCGCTCTGCGGGCGGGGCGGGTCTCCGGGATTCCAAGGGCTCGGTTACGGAAGAAGCGCAGCGCCGGCTGGGGAGGGGGCTGGATGCGCGCGCACCCGGGGGGAGGCCGCTGCTGCCCGGAGCAGGAGGAGGGGGAGAGCGCGGCGGGCGGCAGCGGCGCCGGCGGCGACTCCGCCATAGAGCAGGGGGGCCAGGGCAGCGCGCTCGCCCCGTCCCCGGTGAGCGGCGTGCGCAGGGAAGTCGCTCGGGGCGGCGGCCGTGGCCGGGGGCGGTGGAAGCAGGCGGGCCGGGGCGGCGGCGTCTGTGGCCGTGGCCGGGGCCGTGGCCGGGGACGGGGACGGGGCCGTGGCCGGGGACGGGGCCGCGGCCGTCCCCCGAGTGGCGGCAGCGGCCTTGGCGGCGACGGCGTCTGCGGCGGCGGCAGCGGTGGCGGCGGCGCCCCCCGGCGGGAGCCGGTCCCTTTCCCGTCGGGGAGCGCGGGACCGGGGCCCAGGGGACCCCGGGCCACGGAGAGCGGGAAGAGGATGGACTGCCCGGCCCTCCCCCCCGGATGGAAGAAGGAGGAAGTGATCCGAAAATCTGGGCTCAGTGCCGGCAAGAGCGATGTCTACTACTTCAGGTACCGCCCTGGGGGTGGGGTGGCAGGGGTGAGGGGGGTGGGGTGGGGGTGGATGCTGGCCGGGTCAGGCCGGGGTCAAGGGTCAAGCGCTGCCCTGGGCGCGGGCAGTCCAGCCGAGAGCTGGGGTGCCCAGTAGGAGGTGCCGGCGCCCTTGGGTGGGGGGCGAGGCCGGTGCGGTGACAGGCGCGGTGTCCGGCTGGTGAGACGGCTGAGCTTGGAGGGCTTGGAGGCCGTGGTTGGCGAAGCCCGGGTTGCTCTGGCGGCGATGACCGGCCACCGAAGGGTTAAAAAGGAGGTGTAATGCATCGAAACCGTAAAAGCCAGTCACTGTTGGCTCCCTTCCCAGCCCGTCGCAGACTCATCCTCGCCGGAGTGTTGAATCACGCACATGTGCAGGAATGACGAGGGACGGACGAGGCTTGGGTTAGGTGCTGGGGTCCAGGAAGGTGTCCCAGGAAGCGCCCCGCCGCTCTGGCGGGTGTTGTGGAACTTGCCCTCCTTTGGACACTCAGCACTGGGATGAGCGGTTAGACTCCTGGACCCAAATTAGTCCCCCCGGGGGGAGAGGAGGGCACTTGTCAGGGTCTGGGGACATGGTTGATGGTCACCCCTTGGAAGGGGCAGCATCGAGGCCAAGGATGCTGCTGAATAGTCTACAGTCCACAGGATCTGCCCCCAGGGGACAGGATGATCTGGCCCCAAGCGACACCGGTGCCACGGTTGAGAACCCCTGGTCCCAGGGATGAAGGTTTTCAGCTTGATGCGGCCTTGCAGCCTCTGGCCCTGCCACCCGTGCCGTCATGTCATTAGTTTGGATGGCCCAGTAAGATCAGGAAGAGGCCTGTGGCTGTTGATTTCCAGTGGAATTTTCTTATCAACAGATTTACTAACATTTCTTACAAACCTTCCCATTTACAGAACAAAATAGGAGCATGTTCTGTTCAGTGGCTTGCAGGCTGTGTCTGTGGGCTGATTGGATCATTTTCCAGGAAATATTTGGGTGTTATTGTCAGCCATTTGGCCGTTGGGATAATATTTTGAAGGATTTCCATTCTTTCGGACCTCGAGTTGGTTAATGTATTACCCCTGGGGAAATATATTAAAGTGTATGTGTATGTGGATTGCAAATACTCTTAGATTTAAGAGGTTAACAAATATACACTTACATGCATACACAAGAATGTGATCACTACTGGTATAACATGTAAATATGTTATTTCTGATAGTTGCTGAAGTATATGGATGAGTAGCTTCAGTAAATTTATTTATCTCTTCAAGTAAAAAAATCAAAGTGGTGTTTTATTGGAACTGTTTTTGTCAGTTTATATTAGACCACCTATCTTGATATCGTAAGAGATAAAATGAAAACCTTAAACATACAGAGATGGTTATCTTGTTTTGTATTTTCACATCATTAAATATTAAATGTATTTGAATAATACTAAGAAAGTTATTGTGGAACAGATTCTTACTCCTCTCAAGTTCATTTGTTTCTTTTTTTGATTTTTTACAGAGAGGAAGAGAGAGGGATAGAGAGTTAGAAACATCGATAAGAGAGAATCATCGATCAGCTGCCTCTTGCACACCCCCTATTGGGTATGTGCCCGCAACCAATGTACATGCCCTTGACTGGAATCGAACCTGGGACCCTTCAGTCCGCGGGCCGACGCTCTATCCATTGAGCCAAACCGGTTTTGGCTCATTTGTTTCTTGTAGGGATATTCACATTGTCCCCTTGTGCATATTCTTTCATTAGCAGCTCCTTCTGTTTTCCTAAGCAGGTGGTATGCAAAGCCTTCTTTCCGTGAACTTAAGGGATAGGAGACTAGTCTATCCTCAGTAGAGGATATTAAACTCTGGGATGTTTCTCCTGGGATATGGTTTGTTTGGCTTTGAGATGACGTATTTGTTCAAACTAACTTTTGGTTATGGCAATTTTTTAAAAATTGTTTTTCTTGCAGTAGTTAGAAAAATTATTTCAGAAAGGTAGATTGCTGTGTTCTCATTTGTGGTCTCAATATATTTTGAACGTGTTGTAAATAAAATTTTTTTTAATTGATTTGGGAGAGGAAGGGAAAGAGAGGGAGAAACTTCAATGATGAAAGAGAATTATTAATTGGCTGCCTTCTGCATGCTGCGACAGGGGATTGAGCCCGAAACCCAGGCATGTGCCCTGACTGGGAATCTCCTGGTTCATAGGTCGATGCTCAACCACTGAGCCATCCTGGTCTGACGATGTGTATAAATTTTTGATATTTACTCTTTTTATACAAACTCAACAGATGCTTTATGGTAGAAAACAGATATAATTTAAAACAACTTTTCAGACATTCATCGAAGAAAATCACAAACCAGTATAGTGATAGTTGTTCTTTTTATGAGACAATACAACATAATATGCTTTTTACTTGTTCATGCAAAATTAAAGGACACATTGCACATTTTGTGCCACGTGTTCTCGGTTCAGGGCTGGAAGGAGTGTTGGCTGTTCACTGCCTACAGTGTGAGTTCCTAGGCCGGGTTGTAAGACCCAGTCTTCATTTCCTCCTGAGGGGTTAAATTCTGAGGTATGAGGACACATGTGGTGTGTGATACTGACTTCCACTTTCAGTGATGAATGTTGAAGGTCACCTACTTGTAGCAAAGGTGAACACATTATTTCTCAGTCCGCAGAGTCACTGCTTTGCATATTACCATCCCTGTATACGCGCGACCCGTTAAAAACCAGTAGCTCAAAACACCCACCGTATCGTTAATAGGTGGTTAAGCGTTAACTCTCCCGTCGGCAATGTGAACACCTGCACCACGTAGTTCACACTGATTCTAATAATGCTAACTCCTCAATTAGCCTGCCCCTGGGGAGACTTAGAGAAATCGGTGTCTGTGAACGCAGGGTGTGTCTTAACACTTATTAATTGGGTTTAAGCTCATCAAGAAAGCCTCACATTTTGGTAGAATGGTGTTTTGGTTTCCTGAGACTGCCAAGTTCTAAGAGGAAGGTGTGCCTCCGGTTGCCAGTTAAGCAGTATAATTATGCCTTCCGTCAGGACTACTGATAGTATAGTGGCAGTTCATATATTATCATCCAGAGTTTGTTTTTAAAAAGGGTGTGGTTTGATAAAATGTTGGATCCACTGGTATAGTTTCTGAAAAAGTTCGAGGCCATTATGTGAACTCATGATTTGAACAATCATTTTTACTGGGAATAGAACCCGAGACCCTTTGGTGCTCGGCCAACACTAACCATCGGACAACACTGGCCAGGACTCTTGACTTTTGCTTCTACCTGGGTTAAACACCTGGGAGTCCTGGACAACTGTTATAGCTGCTGCCATAATATGTCATCTGGTTGGATATTGGAAACAGAATAATAAACATTTGACTCTTTTTAAAAAAATATATATTTTATTGATTTTGTACAGAGGGGAAGGGAGAGAGATACAGAGTTAGAAACATCGATGAGAGTCATCGATCAGCTGCCTCTTGCACACCCCCCACTGGGGATATGCCCGCAACCAAGGTACATGCCCTTGACTGGAACCGAACCCGGGTCTTTTCAGTCCTCAAGCTGACGCTTTATCCATTGAGCCAAACCGGTTTCGGCAACATTTTGACTCTTATCAAAATTATGATGTAGTCACACCTGATCACTTCTCTCTCAAAAAAAGACAATGGATAGAGAGAACAATTAAAACAAAACAAAACAAAACAACCATAGGGAACCAGGTGCATGAAGAGAGACTAAAGATTTCATCTTGATCCGGAGAGAAGACTTGGACACATGTAACTGAGGCCTATACAGTCATGAGGTAGATGATGAAAGAGGAGTCTAGGGAAATGAGAGGTCTGGAGCTGGTGTTCTAACTGCACTTCCCAGAGCGCAGCCTGCGTTTGTCACGTGCACTTCCCAGTGCTGGAGCTTGTTTCTCCCTTTGTAAAGTGGCTATGGTGTACCTCTGCCTGTGTTCTAAGGATTCAGTTCCACAACATTAAAATCAATACTTAGAGCTTTTGAAGCTTTAGATACATTTAAGGACCAATTAAGGAAAAACGATTCAGTAATTCAAGATTTATGGGCTGAACATACGTAAACAGGCTTGAAAAAATGTATAGTAATGTCCTGGTGAGGTAGCTCATTTGGTTAGAGCGTCATCTCGGGATGCAAGGTTGCAGGTTCAGTGACCAGCCAGGGCACATAGAAAAAGCAACCAGTGAATGCATAAATAAGTGGAACAGCAAAATGGTATTTTCTCTCTCCCTCTCTCTCTCTCTCTCTCTCTCTCTCTCTCTCTCTCTCTCTCTCCCTCTCTCTCCCTCTCTCCCTCTCTCCCTCTCTCCCTCTCTCCCTCTCTCCCTCTCTCCCTCTCCCCCTCCCTCCCTCCCTCTCTCTCTCCCCCCCTTCCCCCCCTTCTTCTCTTCCTGTCACTCTAAAATCTAAATATAATAAAATAGAAAAATAAAAATGGATAGTAAAAGTTGTAAAACAAAACCTCGTTTGTTACTGAAGGCTAGTATGGTGCTTTAAGGGTATGATTTCTGAATCATTGAGAATTTCAAAGTTCAGCATTCCCCTTACCCCCTTTTTTTGTCTTAAAAAAACAACAACTCAGGTAGTCTTTGTTGGAAAAAAACTAGCAGAATAAATCAGAGAGAAATCCATTGCCAGTTCTTTTTTTATTTTATTTTTATTGTTGGTCTACAATTTTACTTATTTTTATTCAACAACGCCTCACATACATGATTTCAAGTCCACTTATGCAAAATGTTACTCTTTTTAATCAACGGGGTAATATTCCTTAATGGATACAAGGTAATCATGCAACCTACTGGTGGATATTTAGTTTAGTTCAAATGTTTTTCTAGCCACAGTTCTTAAATATTAAAATGTCTGACTTTCAATAAACAGTCCTTCCAAAAATATGTATATTTTGGATCATCTGTGTGGTTAAACCTGATGTCCCCTGTATTACTCTCATGCTCATTTTCATAGAATCTGTGGC